TCCTCTGGTCCAGGTGGGAGAGGGCAGTGTGGATGGTGAGAAGGGCTGAACGATTAATCGATTTTAAATCGAAATCACGATTTTAAATGATGCCATTATCAAATCGCAAAGCCTGCGACCTTTTTTTTCTTTTCTTGTGTGTCAGTCATCCACACCAATCAGAAGTGCTGTGCTCCACATGTACCAGCCATTGTTAACCAATCAGAAGTGGCCCATGATAGAAGGTGACAGATTGATCCAATCACCTGCCAAGTGCCTGCCCTTTCCAGATGGCTTCCAATGGAGCTTTCCTAGATGGTTTGGTGAAACAAATCATCTGAGTCAGGTTAGTAATGCTCCATCACATGTTTCTATTAAAGGGTGAATCTTAAACTGAAGCTTGACTTTAAAGCAACCCAACGGAAGTTTCATGTAAGTTTAGTTCTTTCACTCATAGCTCGGGCTGCGGGGGTGCTAGAGACCGGAGCACGTTGATACGACCTTCCTAGCCGGAGATATGGCCGCATTTTACAATAAACTTCCGTTGGGTCGCTTAAAAACAAATATCGCAAATCGAATCGCTGTCAGATATATCGCTGTCGAATATCTGTCAGAAAAATCGCAATTAGATTATTTCCCCAAATTGTGCAGCCCTAATGATGAAGGCTATGGCGTCGTCTGTGGACCTGTTAGCACTGTAGGCAAACTGCAGGGGGTCCAGGGAGGGAGGAGGTGATGAATGTTTTGACTAACGCAGCGTCCACACGGCAGCGTGCGTTGAAGCTTGCCGGCGGGCGTGTCTGAAGCCAACAACCAATCACATGAATCTCCCGCCCCGGACATACAAGCATGCGGTCTGATTGGCTAGACTCGAGCTTGTACTGGCATATGATTTGATTGGCTGACGCTTCCGTCAAAGCTTGAAAAGTTTAACTTTTCTCAACTTTTGAAGCAAGCAACGGAGGCAAAGCGCTGCAACGGAACCACAATTCAGTTCGGCAAAGCATGACGTCACCCCATTCAAAGTGAATAGGAAGCTGCGTTGAAGCTTCAACGCACGCCGCCGTGTGGACGGGCCGTAACCGCTCAAAGTACTTCATGACAGGAACGATGGTGGAGTGTTTGAAGCATGTGGGGACTACAGACTGCAGCAGGGACCTGTTGAAGATGTCTGTGAACACCTCTGCCAGCTTAACTCCACAAACCCTGAGAACACGGCCAGGGATGTCAATGGAAAATATGTATTTGTGTCTTGAAGCAACGGGTGTGTGGGACATTTGAGCTAAGAATTCATGCTAAAAAGTGGGAATAAAGTTCCCCACTGTCCAGTGGCATTACAGCCTTACCGTCTCAGAGTTGTTCTTCAGTCTGATATATTTCCCGTCCATGTCGACTCCGGCCACGCTCACAGAGCCGTGCTGTGTTGCATGGCTGCCCGAGGCTCCCTCGTGTTTCCGCTTCTTCCCTCTAAGCTGCCGGCTTAGAGGGAGGGGTGTCCGAGGGATGGCTGAATGCTGGGAGGGGCTGGGGGTCAGCTGCAGTCTGCGAAGAAAATCGGATTTATTTGGATTAAAAGAAACCAAGTCACATTTAATCCATGTAGCCTAATATCATAAAGTACAAATATGCCGTCATTAATAAATGAAAAAAGTCCTTGCAGCTGCAACATTAAGTTATTTCAACATCAACAGGCGCTGCCATGACCCCTGAGCCGGACTGGGAGCAGAGCATCAGCCGGGCTCTGCTCCTGATGTATGACAGCAGATTGCACAAAGATGACATCCGTACCTCTGCTCCTCAGCTTCCAGCATTTTCCTGTAGGCATTGATCTCCATGTCCAGCGCAAGCTTCACATCCAGCAGGTTCTCGTAGTCTACCAGCTGGGTAAACATCTGGCTCCTGATGTTCAGCAGCTCCTGCTCCTTCTGACCCAGTCGCTGCTGCCACACCTCACGCTCCTTGTCCAGAGTCCTCTCCAGATCATGAAAGCTGCCCTCCAGCAACATTTTCTGAGAAAGGAAAAAGAATAAGACGACAAATGCTGGTAAGTGAGAATCAACAAAGCAAATCAAAGGGAATTTTCGGGTTATAGTCAAACAGGTTTTACACCACTGCCGTCGCCCCATACTTCAGCTGCCCTGCTTGGATCATCTTCCAATACATTTTTACCTCAAGTTCAAACCTGAGGTTTAGTTAGACCCTCCAGAAAAACGCGGTCAAAAATCCTTGATTATGCGGGCTAAATTCCTTGATTATGCGGGCTAAAATCCTTGATTATGTGATTTAAC